GGGGGGGGGGGGGGGGGGAGGTCAAATGGGAGAAATAAAAAATAATAATGATGATAATTACCGTTTGTCCAATTTGATGAAGACCTATGCATCTGCCGAGGGGAATATAATCACTATTGTATTGCTAATTGTAATGTCGCTATAAATAGTAACAAGACGAAGGAAGTCATGAATATCCTACCTGTTATGTTGCTATAGATAAATAGTATCACTTTGGAAGTGGTTGGAAGGCTATCATGGATAATGCTTTTTGTGTTGCTGCTATAAACGTTTGGCTTTTTACACGGTTGGGGGGGGGGGTTTACCCTGATGGAAATCACGAATATGCTTGTTGTATTTTTGCTACAAATAGTATGGCTTTGGGAAGAGTGAAGAAACTCATGTATGTTGATTCTTATATTGTGGTCCTGATATGTTGCTGTGTTGTTGTTATTAATAGTAATGCTTTGGGGGTGTGGAAATGTGTATTTGTGATGTTAGTTGTGACGTCGTATTCCACTGGGTCAGCAGACCTGGGTTCGATTCCCTTGCGGGGGAGTCGTTTGTATTGAGTATCTCAGTCTTTCCATTGAGTATCTCAGTCTTTCTATTGAGTATCTCAGTCTTTTCTATTGAGCATCTCAGTCTTTCTATTGAGTATCTCAGTCTTTCTATTGAGTATCTCAGTCTTTTCTATTGAGTATCTCAGTCATTTTATTGAGTATCTCAGTCTTTCTATGGGGACGTTGTTTCCCTCACACCATGCAGACTGAATGATGACGATTTGATGGATTATGTACCATGGGAGCAGAAAACGCTAACAGTAGGACAAAAAAGAAAATTTTTAGCTCAACTGAGATAACTCAGTTCAGATTTCATAATCAGAATTCTGCTATCAATTTCTTTTTTAAATACAAAAGGGGTATAGGATGAGGAAAGGTGGAAAGTGTTTGTTTGTGGCCTGTGCCCCATCCAGGGTGAGGAGGGCAGGGATGAATGACAAAAGGGGAAAGTTTATCTGTAGCCCGGATTGGTTCTTTATCACCAGAGGAATGTGAAGTAGCGATGATGGTCCTGTTGTTGAGTTGTGTTGAATGGTGTAAACAACTTGTTTAGCTGGTAGTGTTCTCTGTGGGAGGATTATTCAGGGTTCTTTTGACTAGCGTCAGTGGTGTAGCTGTTAGGTGCTTCACTGTTGCATATTGGAGAATGGAGTTCGGTTCCTGTAATGGGGAGGATTTTTGTCAAGTGTCTCGGTCTAAATGTTCTAAAGTGTGTCAATCTGGGCATGTTACGGATAAAATTGTAATTTTGTAATAGGATGTAAAAAGTTGAAGATGACGACTTCCTCTTTTTGTGTTTTCATGTCCTCTCTCGTATGTGATTCATTTTGTCGGGGTATTGTCTTTTCTATCACACACCTTGTGGACAGGAATGAGAGAAAAGAATGTGTATGTGTTTTTGTCTGATGTATTGAATCCCACTGCCTGTACGTACTCTGCATGTGGGTGGTGGGCGGGTGCTATGGTGTGGTTTGCTTCTTCTTTCCTTTCAAATATCTATCGTCACTATCTCCCCTCCTTTTTTTGTGTTTGTTACTCTCTTGTAACACCTCTAATCTTTGGCATTTATATGACCTTATTGTGTTGCAAGTGCCGTAAAATTCAGCATGTTCATGTAGAGGAGGGGGGGCACATGGTTGTAGTGTTGGTAACCCCGCATGTTCTCTTCACACTGTTGTTGTATCTAGTACATTGATAGCACCCGTATGGAAGCTGAAGTGGTCACGTAAAAAACTGGATAAGTGAATTACACATTTTTAGAAAGTAGATTTAGTTTACATCTTTAGAAAATTTTAATTTACATGTTTACAAAATGGACTTAACTTATATCTTTAGAAAATCTTTACTTGCATGTTAACAAAATGGACTTTATTTTCTTGTTTTGAAAATGGATCCAACTTACATCTTTTAAAAAATTACTCAACTTTCATTTTTTGAAAATAAATGGACTTAATTTGTATCTTTAGAAAATCTTAATGTACATCTTTAGATAATGGACTATGCTCTCATTTTTAGAAAATTCCTTTTACTGTTTACAACAGTACCTGTAAAATAAATATCCCTGTGAAATCAATGAAGGGGAAAACAATATTTTTGAAAAAGCAAGTCTAGTGAAACAAGCCAAGTCTGGTGTCAGTGGCCTGCTGGTTAGGCTACGGGACCTGTAATCATGAGATTGCGGGTTCGAGGGTTCGAGCCTCAGCTCAGTCCGACGTTGTGTCCTTGGGAAACACACTTTCTTGGCGAATTTCCCATTTGGCCTGTTCCTTTTGGAGTTGGACGTTAAACTGGGAGGTACCGCCTCTTAAATAACCTAGTATTGTTAGTAGTGGTGTTAACCCTATACCATTTCACCATTTCTTTTTCATATTGGAACACTTCTTTTGTATTTGAAAGTATTGTTTATAGTTGGTGAGATTTTCTTTGTACGTTTTTGAATAAATTGTTTAAAAAATGTTGTTTACTGCATGTCCAATGTCCAATGCTACCAGGTGCTAAAAAGGCTCCAGTGGTAGTTCCTGTTTCTTTTTTTTTATCCCCTCTCTTGTTTCTGTCTTTCTTTCTTGTAGATGGCTGGCAGGTGCTCTGGTTTGGTTTGCTCCTTCTTTCCTATCAAGCATCTATCGTCCTTATTCCTTTTTGTTTTTGTTACTCTCTTGTCACACCTCTAATCTTCGGCACTTATATGACCTTATTGTATTGCAAGTAAAACTCTTACTGAAACTAAACTTTCTTTCTTGACTGTCTGACTGTCATGATTATTTTTTTTCCCTGAAACCAGACAGCTGTTGAATTTTTGCATGCAGACTTCTTGTTCGTTTCCTTTTCCCAGTTGCATGATCCGGTTGTAAATTATGTCTAGCTGTAGTGTCCTAGATGTGTCTTTTACTCTGTAAACTCAAGTTGTTGGTGGGTGGTTGGAGGTGCTAGGTTCTACTTCATTTCTTTCCCTCTGTTGTTTTCTGTCAAACTTTTTTCTCAGCACTGTGGGTGGTTGGCATGTGCTCTGGTGTGGTTGGTTTGCTTCTTCCTTCCTATCAAACATCTGTCTTCCTTATCTCTGCTCCTTCTTTTTCGTGTTTGTTACTATTTTGTAACACCTCTTAATCTTCGGCACTTATATGACCTTATTGTGTTGCAACTGCCATAAAACTCTGACTAAACTAACAAATGAACAATGATGCTCTTTTATAACTGTACGTATGTTTGCTTTCAGGTTTAGGAGTGGCCTTACGTAGATACGTTTCTCTAGCTAAAAAAAAAAACCCCAACAACCAAACAAACAAAACAAAAAAAAAACACAAGCGTCTCTTTTTTTTCAACCATGTATATAATGGCACTCATATGACCTTACGCAGTTGCGAGCGCCGTAAGACCTTCCTAAAACTTTTTTTGAAAAAAGTATGTGGTTGGAAAAAAAAGACACCCCAGCAAACAAAACAAAAACAAAACAAAAAACCCTCCAAGACGTCTGTTTTTCCAACCCTGTCTGTTTGTGTGTTCCCAGGTCTACGAGTGGCCGTATCTCTAGTCGCAGCACCAGCGTCACACCGAAGATCTCCTCCAAGCCGGGCATGCACTCTTCCTCCGCCGACCTTCACACCAGCTCGGGGTCAAGATCGAGTGGCTCCCACATCCTGGACAGTAACCACACGGCTTTGGCGGGCTCACGAGATGCCTCGGGCACACCGCAGGGTGCGGTGCGGGTCGAGTCGGTGGACGTCCACAGCGACAGCTCCATGTCAGGGTCAAGGTCGCTCAACTCTCCGCGGTTGGAGCACGGGCTGAGCATCGACCAGGATGTGATCGAGGCTGTGAACGCGCGCACCGAGGGCATGACGGACGAGGATGAGGAGGACAACAACGAGGACGACCACCGCCACGCCGCAGAGGTCAAGGACATGGACACGACGGACGACCGAGGAGGAGGCCGAAACAACGCCATGGCTCACGTGGCCTCGGAAACGAAAGGTGCCCACCATCACTCTCTTCTCTCCCCTGAATCGAGCTCTCCTGTCCGCTATGTTGGTCTGTATTCTGAGGTGGGCTCCCCAGAGTTGTCAGGAGAAGGAGGACTTACCTCCCCCGAGGACAGCCTCTCTCGCAGGGACAAAGCGGCGGCGACGAGAAACCGCGCTGCAACCCCCTCTGAAATTTCGAAATCCGATGATGCTAAAACGAGCGTGGTAGGAAGGGGGACCGATGCTTCGGTTGTCGCTTGTAGCTCCAATCGGGAGGCTGGTGGTGGTAGTGGTGAAGGTGTACCGCTGTCACCGTCGGTATCTTGTGGTGTTGGTAGCGCTGTTGTCAGTGTTGACAGCAACCACCACCAACAACAACAACACCACGCCGCCACGGCCCCTCGTGATAACCTGGACCTTCGGTTGACCAGCGCTGGCTCGACGTCAGCCCCACCACCAGCCGCTGTGTCCCCGAGCTCGGCAGTTACCAGCTCTGTCCAGCTCCTCTCTCAACACAAGTCTCTTCCCTCACCCCCGCCCCCTGCCCCCCCTCCACACCCGTCTCTGCAGTCACCCTCTTCCTCCTCCCCCTCCCCCTCCTTCCTTCCCCACACAGTTACTACAACAACTTCCTCCATAGCGGTGACCTCCTCTCTCCGTTCATCTTCCTCTTCCTCCCCTTCGTCTCACCTTCCTCTCAGTGTTAGTTCGTCAGCCAGTCAAAATGCAAATGACGTTTGTAGCGAGAAATCCCCCCATCCCGTTCAGCCTGCTAAGGTCAAGTCAAATGTTAGTCATAGCCAAGTTTTGGGTAGTTGTAGTCCTAGTAGTAGTAGTGGTAGTAGTAGTAACACTGCTAGTTCAAAACCTCCAAATTTCAGTTCTGAGTTGAATGTTTCTGATGGCATGATATCTCACCATGATGCTTCAACAACAACAACAACAGCAGCAGCAGCAGCAACAACAGCAAAGGTAAGATCCTCCGATAGTATTCAGCAGCAGCAGAAAACGACGATGATGTTGCCGAGGGTGCGGTCAGCGGGCGGCAGTGAGAAGGAAGTGGCAGAGTTGTCCCCCCCGTTCCCGTCCCCCCCTCCCCCCCTGAGCCCGCAGTACAGCGAGGAAGAGATGAAGCGCAGCCTGGATGCCAGCCCTAGCTCGTGTGTCACCGCCACGGCCTTCAGCCGACACCACCAGCAGCAACACCAGGTGAGGCTAGCCTCTTCTTCTTCCTCTTCCTCCAAACTCCCCCCCTCCCTAGACTCCAGTAGAAGTAGCCCCCCTGTTGACCTCACACCCGACAGGTGTAGTGGTAGCAGTAGCACGGCTAGTCCCGTCACTGTGCTTCCTGAGAGGAGGGACGGTCGGGCGACGCCGGTAACTCCCTCGTCTTCCTCTCCTCCCACACTGGAGAGCGCTGCGTCAGCCGCCGATGTGTGTGACAAGGGAGGTAAGAGCAGCAGCGGGAAGGGTGCCGTGGGGAAGAAGTCTCATAAAAAGGATTCGAAGCCTCCCAAAGGGAAGAAGTCGGCACCAGAAGCCAAGAAGATGATGGGAAACGGGCAGCTGGTGGGGGCGGGTCTGCCTGAGAGGCGGTCGGCCGAGGGCGATCCAGCGTCGAGGAAACTGTCGGCGGGGACAGACCTGATCGAAGACATACCCTACATCCTTCACCGTAGGCTGGATGGACAGAAGGAGGAGACGGCTTTGTTCAAAGTCTCTGAGACAGACAAGACGAAGAAGCAGAAGCAGCAGAGTTGTTCGGAGAACAAACGTGCCACCACCGGAGCGTCTGCGACCCCTCGACCTGCCAGACAAAACAGTCCGTCGTCGGAGGTGATAGAGAAACTACGAAGTGACTGCAGAAGTATGAGCCCGCAGAGTCGCAGCAACAGTCGGTCAGCGAGTCCGGCCTCGACACCGGGGGCTGCTGGTGCAGGCGTGGGCAGCACAGGTCGGAGCAAGGGCTCGTCACTGGAGCGTAGCCCGCCCCTGAACCGGCGGCTGGAGTTTGTCAGTGTGCACAAGCTGCCGTCCCGCACCAGCTACTCATCGGTGGATGACACAACCAGCCCCTCGGCAGACGCTGGGATCTTCATGAGTCCCCGGAGTGAGACCCCCGCCAAGTTGCCTGAGTCTGAAGCAGCCGGAGAGCCAGCAGAGAAAGCTGAAGCAGAAGGGGACAACAGAGAGACAGAAACGAGACAAGAAGTGAGACAAGAAGCCAGCAGACCAGAAGCGAGTCAGTCGGAGTCGAAGAAGGAAGAAGAGAAACAGGAGGAGACATCCACAGCTCCTGGTCACACCTCAGAGGTCGGTCCCGACTCAGAAGTTACAAACAGATCCAGCAACGGCCAGGAGGCTGCGAGTACATCAGAGTCTTCTGCCAGTGTGGTAGAAAAGAAAGAAAGTAAAGATGCGCTGTCCAAACACAGCACCACCAACGACTCGACGGCTTTGGATGATGTTCAGTTTTACAGCCCTAAAGTCCCGGGAGGGAGGAAGTTCCAGCAGAGTATACCAGTCCGTACCTCTACGTCAGACGAGTCACCGGACTGTTCAGTGCCCACGTCGAGGCCACAGGGTTCCGCTTCCCCTTCCACATCGTCAGAAAATGTCTCTGACATGGTTCTAGAACCCCTCCAGTCTGCCCCCAGTAAAGAGCCCTCCTCCCAGCACCAGTATTTCGAAGTTTCCAAGCCCCAGCCGTGCCACAGCAAAGACCCCTCCTCCCCGTCAACAACTGCTGATTCTGCGTTCTCCCCGCCACCGCCGCCCTCTTCTTCAACACCGAAGGACGTCCCCAAGTCCCTCCCCCTCAAGCCGAACCAGCCTGCAGAAGAAACCAGTGACCTCCCCTTGAACACTTTCGGAAAACCGCAGTCTCCATCGTTCCCCACGCCCCCTCCTGTCGTGGCACCCAAACCTTCTCAAACATCTCACCCGGCTCAACAGCAGGCTGCAGAAAAAACAGCCTCCCAAAATGGAAAATCTCCGAGTTCGTCCAGCATGGAGACAAACAACCAGTTCCTCATTGATCTCCCTTCCCCGGCCGCTGCGTTATTTTACAGCGACAACGATAGCCCACCGCCGACACAGCGCGACGGAACAGAGTCAACGAGCACACTCAAGTTCTCCACCTTCCGACCGCCCGACTCAGGAGAAGAGGTGGTGGTTCGCGCGGAGGAGATGGCCGGAGACATGCAGAATATGAACCGCTGGTCACTGCACAGCGTGAGCGAACCCACAGAAGCGTCTGACTACCTTGTGATCATGACGGAAGGTGTTGTGGAGAAAAGCGCGCTGAAGAAACGCACCAACGAGGACCCGGACAAACCGAGGGAGCCCAAGCGCGTGAGCTGGCACGAGGACAGCGACATCCAGCACAGCTACCACAGCGACCTCAGCATGACTGCACAGAGGAGCCCGGTGGATGAGTACGACCCCACGCTCTTCGGCGACGCGGCCACGCCCGTGGATTCTGGGAACATCCTGGAGACGCTGGAGAACCTGCGACAGCAGAACTCAGAGAGCGACATGACCTACTCCGGCGAGTCGATGTCATCCTCGGAGCAGAGCGACGGCGGTGGTGAGGCGGAGAACTCCTCCAAGCAAGTCTACTTCCAGTACGCGGCGGCGAAAGGCTTGACGCTCCCATCCAAAGAGGGGACTTTGGATTCCGGGGTCGGAGGGTTGAGTGAAGGAGGGCGGAGTCAGGACCATGAGTCCTCTCCCTTGGAGTCTTTGGAAGGACTCGGGGCGATGGGTGGGAGCGGAGGCAGTTTTGGCGATCGGAGATTTCCTCTACAGGGTTACGGACATCATGCCGACAGCTCTCCGCTGGAACCACTGGAGCGGCTCAGCATGCTCGGAATTGACGACAACTTCGACGATGAGGGAGAGGCGGACGATGAAGACGACGAGCCCAACTTCCCGCCGCCACCACCGATCTTGGACATTCCCGAAGAGATGCTGGTCTCCTGCGAGAGTGACCTCCCCTTGCCGGACATTAAGTTCCCGAGTTGCGAAGGGTTGGACAGCTACCCGCGGAAGTTTCCCGGAGCTCACAGCTCTGTGGCTGCTTCTCTAAGCAGTGGTGGCAGAAAGGTCGGCCCCTCAAGGTCACAGCACAAGCGACCTAGCAGCGACCCGTTGGCAGCCTTGGAGAGCGGAGACTTGGTCGGGGACATGCAAGTCACCACCAGTGAGAGCGAGAGCGACTTCGATGAGGAGCAGGCAAATCTGGACATCCGCCGCATGTCGGTCGGCGTGTCGGAGAAGGATAGCGTTTCGATGGCTCAGGCCAGCTCCTCTTCCACCTTCGCCAAAACTCCGACTGCCGCTGCTGCTGCTGAAGGCCAGGGTTCATCTTCCGATGAAGGACCAATGGCGGTCAGAGGCCGGGTGAGTGTGGCTAAGCTGGTCCACTCCCACCAGGGGAGACAACAACAGCAACAGCGCACGTCGGTGGATGGCAGACAGCCGCCCCCTCACCCCCACCACCCGTCGTCGTCGCCACAGGGCAGTGGTCAACAGCCGCCCCGGCCCCACATCGTCCACAAAAGCCATCCCGGACCTCCCCCCCTCCACCCCAAGCCTAAGGTAGGCCCGCCCGTGCCCCCCAAACAGATGCCGATCCGACAGCCGCAGATGGGCAAAGGGAAGCACTTTGAGAGAACCAGGCAGAAGTCGTCATCGCCATCATCATCGTCTTCATCATCGTCGTCCGACGTCAAACCGCTGCAGCAGCATCCTCCCAACAGTTGACGTTGACTGTTCCGCCTGTTGCCCGCTATTATGCCGATGCTCTTTTCTCTCGGTCTCCCCCTTTCTCTCTCTCTCTCTCTCTCTCTCCCTCTCTCCCTCTCTCTCTTGCTCTCTCTCTTGCTCTCTCTCTCTCTTTCTATCTCTCTCTCGCTCTCTCTATCTCTCTCTCGTCTCTCTCTCTCTCTCTCCCATCTTCACTGTTCTTGTTACCTTTTACATTCAAGCCAAAGCGTACGGCTCCCA